AGATGGGTGATTTTTAAACTGTGCTTTTCAGAGAGGCAGAGGATCTGTGTAAATCTCTAAGGACTGTCTTGGAGGAGAAGGTAGCCAGAAAGGTGGACAGAGCCCAGCAATTGGATTCTGCCTCTGTTTCATCACCATCACTCAAAGTAGCTACGCTCTCTTTCATGACTGACTTTTCAAATAAGCTTCCCGAATACAGGGATGTGTTGCTTTAAAAAAAAAAAAAACAACTAACTTGAGAACCAGAGTATAAGATCACATCCAAAGCTTTATTCAGCTCTATAATCTTATCAATTCCTAAACAGCAAAGCATTACATAGCCCTGCTTCTGACCCACAGCAATTTTCACATAGGGCTTGATATTGTTACATACTATATATTGATTATGTTACTATTCCATTGTTACATGTAATATGTTGACTATATATTATATACTAATGGATATTAAATGAATTTGTGATGGGAGCTCAGTAAGGTCAGGTTCAGGAGGGTGGAGACCATGGCTGCTCACCTGGGATGGGTTGAGAAGTGAGGAAATGGAACATGAGCAGCCTCCACTCTTTAGAGACAAGTAGCTCTGAGGGAAGGAGCTAGTGTCTGAAGAGGGTTCAAGATCAAAGGAAGATTCCTTTTTCGTAAAATTCTTTTTTTATTTTTTATTGAAGTGTAGTTGATTTACAGTGTTAGTTTCAGGTGTACAGCAAAGTGATTCAGTTATACACATCCATACATATATATGTTTTTTTCAGATTCTTTTCCATTATAGCCTCTTACAAGATATTGAATATAGTTCCCTGTGCTATACAGTAAGTCCTTGTTGTTTATCTATTTTTATATACAGTAGTGTGTATCTGTTAATGCCAAACTCCTAATTTATCTATCCTCTGCCCTTTCCCCTTTGGTAACTATAGTTTGTTTTCTATGTCTGTGAGTCTATTTCTGGTTTATAAATAAAATTTGTATCTTTTTTTAGATTCCATGCATAAGTGATATCATATGATATTTGTCTTTCTCTTTCTGACTTACTTCACTTAGTATGGCAATCTCTAGGTCTATCCATGTTGCTGCAAATTCCATTAATTTATTCTTTTCTATGGCTGAGAACTTCTTTGTTCAGTCGTTTGTCAATGGACATTTAGGTTGTTTCCATGTCTCGACTATTGTAAATAGGGCTCCTATGAACATTGGGGTGCATGTGTCTTTTCAAATTGCAGTTTTCTCTGGATATATGCCTAAGAGTAGGATTGCTGGATCATATGGTAACTCTATTTTTAGTTTTTTAAGGAATTTCCATACTGTCCTCCATAGTGGCTGCACCAAATTACATTCCCATCAACAGTGTAGGAGGGTTCCTTTTTCTCCACACTCTCTCCAGCATTTATTATTTGTAGACATTTTAATGATCTTCTGCCCATTTTTGATTGGGTTATTTGGTTTTTGATATTCAGCTGTATGAGCTGTTTGTATATTTTGGAAATTAGTCTCTTGTAGGTCTCGTCATTTGAAATATTTTCTCCCATTCCATAGGTTGTCTTTTCATTTTGTTTATGGTTTCCTTTGCTGTGCAAAAGCTTTTAAGTTTAATTAGATCCCATTTGCTTACTTTTGCTTTTATTTCCATTACTCTAGAAGGTGGATACAAAAAAATTATTGCTGTAATTTATGTCAAGTGTGTTCTGCCTATGTTTTCCTCTGGGAATTTTATAGCATCCAGTCTTACATTTAGATCTTTAATCCATTTTGAGTTTATTTTTGCATATGGTGTTAGAGAATGTTCTAACTTCAGCCTTTTACATATAACTGTCCAGTTTTCCCCACACCACTTGCTGAAGAGACTGTCTTTTCTCCACTGTATATCCTTGCCTCTTTTGTCATAGATTAATTGATCACAAGTGCATGGGTTTATTTCTGGACTTCAAAGGAAGATTCTTTAATGGATGCTAGACAGATATGGGCATTGAAATGTTTTTAGCCCCAGATGCTTAATTCCTTTCAGCAAATATTTATTGTCCTCTTCAGTTATGTGCTCCACCTTTTCCTTTAGACCAGAGTCTCAGCTTTTACTGCCCAATAGAATTCCCAGGGAGCTTCCAAACAATACCTATTGTTCGACAGTTAAAACACAACCTGGGGGAGAGTCTCGGGCACTGGACTGGGTGGTGTGGGGATAGGGGCAGGGGTGGTTTTGCTGCTGTCACCATTGTTGTTGTTGTCTCAAGCCTCCCCAAGGCAATTTTAACGTTTGAATTGTTTTAGACTTTGTTTAAAAGCTGTTTTAGACTTGTAAGCTTTGTTCCAAATCAGAATGTCTAAGATTTACATCAATAAACTTTCAATTTATTAATCTAAATGCATTAAATTTACCTCTTAAAGAGATGTTTATAGTTTTGTTGCTGTTTGAATGTGATGTCTATTAAATCGTGTAGTCAGAATATATAATGAAGATATTACCAATTTTATAATGAAATGCCAGGAAATATATAATTGATAGGTGAGATTTACCTTAATGATAGTATATACTTGCCTTTGGGGAAAAATATATATATGTAATGTAAATTCCAGCCTATTAATTAAGTTATTCAAATACAAATCCTGGAAACTGGAGGATAAATGGAATATTTTTCTGTGGTCCAACAGGAGAGTAGTGATAAGATGTGGAGGAAAGGGCTCTAGTGCTGGACCAACCTGGCTTAAATGCTGGCCATACTCCCCATGCTCAAGAACAAATTCCTGAACTTTCCTGAGTCCCACTTTCTTTGTTTAAAAATGAGGATGATATAACCTATTTCTCATGGTTCTTTTGAAGTGTAGATGTGCTAATAATTATAAATGACCCAGCAAAGCATCCAACATATTGCAAAGATAAACTCTACTGCTAATAATAACAATAACATTAAAAAAAAAAAGCCCACTGGCCATTTCTATGTGCCAAGCTCTGGGCTATGTGTCCTTTATATAGCACCCCAGTTAATTGGAATTCAATTTGGTCCTGCTTATAAAGAGAGATGTAGTCTCTTAGTAAGAGATGGAAAAAGGATGGGAGTATAAAGTGAGGAAAAACTTATTTCAGACTTCTTGACACAGCAATGTCTGGGGTCACCTTGCTGCCTGGTGTGCAACTACACAGTACTTGTAACACATCACATGATTTTAAAGTAAGCCAAATAGCCACATGTGCTTTAAACTTCTATTAACTTCGGAAAGATCTGTCACAATTATGACATGAATAAAATTGAGTGTATTTTAGGTTTAGCTTGATAAATACAGCATTAGGTAGTGAGAAGTATCCTTGAAGTCATTGGCTTGGAACGGGATGCAGACCCAGACCATCTGACTCGAGTGCATTTAACTACTGCCCAATACTGCCTTCAGGCAAGCTCAGGGTCTCTTGCTTCTTCACTCACAGAACTGGTGTTCCGCTGAACATCGCCTTCCCATCCAAAAAGCTCTTTCCTATAGATAGAAGTCATTAAGCCCAAGAAAACATAATAGTGTCTTATTTTCATTTAGTTGATGTTTTCCCCCAAATAACAAAAACATACATTTTAAAGAACGTCACACTCAAACATCCCATATCATTTACATTACCACCTGGGTGTAGTTAGCTCAGTTACTAACCCCTAGCTCTTCTGAATCACTGCTGAATCTAATCCTGTTTTCTCCTCTGGCTTAAGTAATTCTGGTTCATGCTAAATTTCTTAATTTGGAGAATGAAATTCCCAGAGATTATCTGGCTTCTCAGCATCTTTGTGTCCAAAGACCTGGCAAGTACTTTCAACCAAACTTTGGTCTCCTTAAAAAGTGTAATTTATGGCTAGATCCTACAGTTTATGATGGAAAATATTCCTACCACATTTCTCTCTCTCTGTCCTTCTCTCTCTCCCTCTTTCTCTCTGTCATTTGTCTCTCCTTTCTAGATCCAATAAATTGAGACATATTAGTCACACCATCACTGTTGACTTTAATGAAACATGATCTTTCTCCAATTTATGAGCTCCTTGACAGCTTCCTTCTAAGTCTTCATCAATGTTTTCTATCTGAAAAATTTAACTTCAGAGATTAGGTCCATTGCCCTAGCCAAGTGTTAATGAGTATCTCAAGTAGAGTTTTTAGTGAAAGATCCCAATATATACTTCTTTTTGCCATTAAGACTGTTTAGCTTATAATAGATCTTAATTCCTTAAAACATATTCAACCAATACATATTAAAGCTTAAGCAAAGATATGATATACTTTCTCCGTAATTATAACATAGAATATCTGTATCATATGTTATAGGGAAAATCATTTTTGATCATCATTGTTGTAGAAATCCAACATTTATAAACCAATTCTTGTGAATTCTCTTCCAGAGCTAAGTTGACAATTCCTAAATGACCATGCCAGATGCTCTGCCTTCTACTTTGGCTACTAAGTTGCCAGAAGAAGGTTAGGAAATAATAAATAAAGCTAGCATGAAACGAAACTGAATGGCATGCAGTTACCAGTCTATCTACATCTATTAACGCTTAATGGTGGCAGTAATCTGACCAGATATTTACTGTTATTATCCCCATTTCACCCATTAAGAAACGGAGGCAACATCACTTGCCAGAAATCACACACCTAGTTAGGAGTAGAGCCAGGGGCCAGACTCCAGCCATCTGACTCCAGCTTCTTCACCACCTGGACCACACTACCTCAAGGAAGTGCCTCCATTCATTCACTCACTCCTTTAACAAGTATTTCTTTAGTGCCTACTTCATAAGG